TAGTTCCAGGGAGATAGAGTCCATAATAGCAGGGAATGCATGGTATGACAAGAACAGCAAGATCATATATTCACACACAGACACACGCATGTGTGAATGCGCGCGCGCACACACACACACACACACACACACACACACACACACACACACACACGAAAGAAGCCAAGAGAGAACAGTGAGATGAGGCTATAAGTCTTCAAAGCCTGTGTCTAGTAACTACTTCCTCTTAAAGGTTCCATAAACTCTCCAAACAGTGCTACCAACTGTTAAAAATATCTGAGCCAATGGAGTGGAGCATTTATTTAAACTGTTTTAAACTAATTCTTTGAAAATGTAATACAATTCTATTTTGATTATAACATTTTTCTTGCAGTAAAAAAGCCAACCTCTTCCACTCCATCCTGGGATTTTTTTCCCGAGTTGAGATTTCACAGGTCATGTACATGCTGTCAAAACACTGTAAGTTCATACAGGCAACTGCTCTGTTGTGTTTGGAAAGGTTGTTTCTTTGTACTCATTTACTGCCTCTGGCTCTTACAATCTTTCCAGGCCCTCGTCCATGAAGTTCCCTGGGTCTTGGAGGGAGGAGTGTGTTATAGATGTCCCATTAGAGCTGAGCATTGCACACACTTGTTCTCTTCAGGATGACCTTTGTACATCTCTGTGTTAACTACTTTCTACTGAGAAGAATCTTCTTTGATGAAAGTCATTAGGAGTTGCTTTAATACTATGCCCTTTTGACAGAATATGGTAGTTGGTTCTACACCTAGAGCCTATGACTTATCTAGAAAAAGGATCTTTGCCCTGATTATGATGCCAGGTATAGGTTCCATTTCATGAAGTGACACTGAAATCCAATCAGAGAGTTACTGGATACTGCCATATGATTTGTACCATTATTGTACCCGTAGACATATCTTGCTTGGTCATCATTGTTCATAGGATTTGCAGTTTTGTAAGACTGATGATCACTTTTCTCTTCCAGTAGTACTTTCTTTCTTGGTCATGTTGCAATAAGGATTAAATGAGTTAATATAAATAAAGTACTTAAATAAGCCCAGTACATTCTATATGTACTTTTAAAAGAAAAGAAGATCTATAATGAATAAAAGTCCATTTAGTAATTATTTGTAATCACACAAGGAAAGAGAATGTGTTTGGTTGCTAAGAGCTAGGAAGTGGTTACCATAGATATGCTAGAACCTTGACAGCCATTTTTAGAACATTGCCTACCCTTTAAGTGGACATATGGGCTGTGTTACTCTATCCTGGAGGCTAAAAGCTCAACAAATCTTTCTGAATTCAACATAACTAACATTCTTTCAACCAAAAAAAGAACTTGTAATCAGATAAATAATTAAACACCTCAAGGTAAGCCAAATACATAGAGCTCTTCACTCTACAGACACTCATAGGCTTAACTTTAGGTGATTTCACTCCAGGCTATCTAGTGGAGGCCCTGAACATAATAGCATCAGGAATCTTCAGATAGCTCAGTTCTTTCTCAATTACAGCCTGTCAGCTTCCTGACCCAAAAGACAGTCTCTAAAGCCAGACTCTCTAGGCTTGATTGTGTGCTTGAATTATGGTTATCCCACTTAGTTACCTTTCTTACTTCAGAAGTTGTATGGTGCCAATTTGGACAGTCAGAGACTAGGTCAAGCTTAGAATCTCTGCAAATGATTAGGATACATGAATAGCCTCCATATTTTTTTAAATTACATTAAAGTAGAAGGAATACTAGTGGGTAGTGGGAAAGGCAAGGGGAAGAAATAAAAGGATCATGGTGGGTATAAACAAAGTACATTATATACATATACTAAAGTATATATTATTTTGTACAGTTAATACATACTAATACAATGTACTAAAAAAGAAACTGACATAAAGATATTACCAGCCTTATCTCAAAGGGAGATAGCCATCATGGAATCTGTCCTTTTAGGCTCTAGGTCTTATTAGACTCATAAGCAAGATTAAGTAAGGATGCTTTTGATCATGGGCCATATGTATTGTTTCTTTTTTGTCTGATTCAAGACAGAGCCATTTTCCAGTAGCCTTTAGGGAAGCCAATTTCCTAAAACAGTGAGCTGTACTCAAAGATGAGCTATGGAATGTGAGCCTCCATTTAAAAGTAACGATGCTCCAAAATGGGATGACTGGATGACTGTTCAGAATAATGCTAAGTCATCCATTAATAAGTAGCATAAAAACTGTTCAACAAACTCTGAGGCAAGGCCCATATGGGTACAAAATGACATCTTTCCTTAACCCTACCAGTTCTTCCTGCAATTCTAGGCTCCAACAAAATAAACTATTGGAGAAATGTAAATCAAAATCATAATGAGATTGCATTTCTCAGTTGCTAGAATGGCTAAAAATGTCAAGACAGCAAGAATCCTTGTTGCACAGGTAGAGGAATGAAACCAGAGGTGGTGGCACAAAGCTTTTTAAATGTTTTCTTTATTATTATTATTATTATTTATTATAATTTATTCACTTTGTATCCGAGCTGTAGCTCCCTACCTCATCTCCTCCCATTCCCACCCTCCCTCCCTTTTCCCTCTCTATGTCTCCCCCCTAGTCCACTGATAAGAGAGGTCCTCCTTTCATACTATCTGACCTTACTCTATCAGGTCCCATCAGAACTTCCTGGATCCTCTTTCTCTATGGCCTAGTTAGGCTACCTCACCAGGGACAGGTGATCAAAGAGCCTGACACTGAGTCCATGTCAGAGACAGCCCCTGCTCCCCTTAGTAGATAACCTATATGGAGACTGAGCTGCCCATGGGCTACATCTGAGCAGGGGGTCTAGATCTTCTAAACCTTGCATGTATAGTCCTTGGTTGATTCCTCAGCCTCTGCAAGACCCCCTAGGCCCACAATTTTTTGGCTCTGATGTTTTCCTTGTGGAGCTCTTGTCCCCTCCAGGTTTTTCTGTCTCTCCTTTCTTCCATAAGATTCCCTGCACTCTGCGCAAAGTTTGTCTATGAGTGTCAGCATCTGCTTTGATACACTGCTGGATACAGTCTTTCAGAGGGCCCCTGTTAAAGGCTCCTGTCCTGTTCCCTATCTTCTACTTCCATTGGTTATCCTGTTTGCCCGTCTAAATGAGGATTAAGCCTCTTCCCTAGGGTCCTCCTTTCTGGTCTAACTAGATGTCTACAAGTAGAAAAATGCAAATAGGTCCATATTTATCACCCAGCACATAACTAAAGTCCAAGTGGCTCAAGTACCTCAACATAAAACTAGATACACTAAATCTGTTAGAAGAAAAAGTGAGGAAGAGCCTTAATGTCACTGGCACAGGACACCAACAGCACAGGTTCTAAGATCAACAATAAATAAATGGGACCTCATGAAACTGAAAAGCTTCTGTAAAACAAAGGACACTGACATCAGAACAAAATGACAGACTACAGACTGGGAAAAGATCTTCACCAACCCTGTATCTGAAAAGGGCTAATACCCAGAATATATAAAGAAACTTAAGATGTTAATCAGCAGCAAACGAAGTACTCCAATTAAAAAATGGGGCACAGAGATTAATAGAGAATTCTCAACAGAGGAATATAGAATGGCAGAGAAACACTTAAAGAAATACTCAACATCCTTAGTCATCAGGGAAATGAAAATCAAAACAACTCTGAGATTCCATATTACACCTGTCTAAATGGCTAAGATAAAAAACTCAAGCTATAGCACATGCTGGTAAGGATGTGGAGAAAAGGAAACACTCCTGCATTGCTGGTGGGAATGTAATCCTATACACCACTTTGGAAATCAACCTGGCACCTTCTCAGAAAATTAGAAATAGTGCTACCTCAAGATCCAGCTATACCACTCGGGCATATATCTGAAAGATGCTCAACCATACAAGGACATTTGTTCAACTATGTTCACACAGCTTTACTCATAATAGAAAGAATCTGAAAACAACCTAGGTGTCTTCAACTGAAAAATGGATACATTTACACAATGGAATACTACTCAGCAATTAAAAACGAGGAAATCATGAAATTTGCAGGCAAATGGATGGAACTAGAAAAGATCATCCTGAGTGAGGTATCCTAGAAGCAGAAAAACATACATGGTATGAACTGATTTATAAGTGGATATTATCCATTCAAAGAAGATAAACATACTAAAATCTATAGTCCTAAAGAAGCACATGCATTTAATCCCAGGATTTAGAAGGCAGAGACTTTGTTACAGGCTATCCTAGTCTATGTAGCCATTTCCGGGCCAGCCAGAGCTACAAAATAAGAGCCCAACTAAAAAAACAAAAACAAAAACAAACAACAACAAGGTATTCATACATGGAATTTTGAGGCAGTTGCCTCAATTGTCTTTTATTTTGACAATCATTTTCAAGTCAAACTTCATATTAAACTTATTTGAAAAAAATATATGTGATTTTCTTGAAATCTTTCATAGTAGGGCATCTGGATTGGAGTTTAATGTTTATTAGTGTACTCCAGGTGATGTCTGAGGTCCCTTAGAGCTTTTAGGAACTGCATGAAATCTATGAAAAATGGGTCAACAACACCTGTATCTTTGAATCTGAGGCAATAACAGAACCAAGCCAAATAGAGAAGTGTTATTTAGAATGGGTCCTCCAATAGTTCTTTAAACTAAGTGGGTTCTCCAAAGCATCATCCACCCCTTCTCCAAATGAAGATATTCCTAGTAGTAACAAATTCTAGCTAAATGGATAGGGTCCATCTGATTGTGTCTGTGTGGTAGGTTACTTTAGTAATAAGTCACCCTTTTTTGTAGGAAGCTACATAGTAGCACAAAACTATCACTGGAGCTCAGAATAGCCAGTCTCTCTCCTCTATGACATTTGCAAATTAGGCTGGGCTGAATGATGCAATGGAATTCTAACACTCACAGACTTTCTGTTTATCAGTATCTGTATAATGACAAACTGACTTAATTCACAAATGATTATTTGTCATTTATTTTTGTCATTTAGTATTTAAGAACCAAGTTGAATCATGTTCCGACTCTTGACTGCGTGCTGGTCTTGTCAAAGGGCCACAGAAGAAAAACAAAGGTAACTTTACAACTACTTTTCTACATCCAAACTAGAATTATTTCCCAAGCATCTGCCTCAAAGTTTCACAAGGGACAAATGATCATGACACATTTGGAAAGTAATTAAACAGCAAGTACAAGATAGGAACACAGTTAAGAGAGGATGATCAGTTTGTATATTGACTACATTGGGGAGGGAAAGCATCCTTGAAAGATTTGGAAGGGGCTGTTACACCACTCCTGCCAGTGTGGTGGGGCTTTTTATGATACATGAGTTGAGACTATTGCAAGCAAAGCTTCAAACACTAAGAAAGAATAGAATTTTTTAGTCTGAAAATGAATGGGTTTGTGGCTTTGACCCATTTTCCTTTTTCTCTTCTAGGAATGTGACTATCATTGTCATTGGCTTGGAAAACTCTGGCAAAAGTCATCTTGTAGAGGCCTTTCAAAGATGTGAGAACTAAACAGCATTAGTTTCTGGTGTGGGTCTGCCAGTATTCATTCTACCTTAGCCTGACTTCTGGACTCTCAGTTTCTCTCTTGTAAAGATAAATATCTCAGTCTCCTCATTCAGTATTAACAAGCTACTTATATAGTGTCTGTTAACCTGCTCCCTTTGTAAGATGTCTCAATAGAAAGTCTTCACATGATGTCAATAGGAATAATCTACAATATGTAACACTGCAGTCAATTTTGAAGGATAGCATGTTTGAAATGCTTTGTAGTTTGAGAGCCCAGTCCATAATTTGGTCTAGATAAGATACAAGTGTAGCATAATAAAAAAAAGTGTAGTGACACAAAACTCTGGGATAGCTGATATTGAAAGTTAGTGCTTGAGAAATGTTGTCACCTCAAGTGTAGTACCACATCTTTAGCTTAATCCTTGGACATTTCGAGAAGCAGTCACACAGCATTGTAGGAATCTCTTATACTAGTTGGGAAGTCCCAACTAACTTTTAATCAATCAGAAGTCAACACAGAGTCTGACTCATCATCAATATTTATTGAGTTGATATAAGAGTGATGACATGGTTGATTTTTATACAACCTGTCAACCCTCAGCAAACTAGAGTAAATGGTTGTCCTGACACCTGTGCTCATGCTCTCCTACTTGAAGGTTTTTCAACAGCACTGGCGTTTTGGCTGATCTGGCTGTTTCTACTTGTTCCTCTAATTACCAAAGAGATGCAAAAATCTAATCATGACACTCCATGATCAGTAGTGCTCCATGTGTCCCCATTGTTTTTGAAGCAAAATGTACCCAGCTTAGCAGCATACAAGGTCTTGTTTGGGGCTCTGACTACTCCTCCAGCTTCATTTCCCAAGTTCCTCACCTATAGTTCTCTCATAAAACCAAAGCAAATGCTCTGCCATTCCTCTGCCATACCACTGTACACTGTGCACCCTGTACACACACCACTATACCACTATACAAGGCTGCTTTTCCTGTATTGTAACCCCTCTGTCATGTGCTTAACCAAGCCCTTCAAGTCACAGCCTGGCCAAAGAAAACCTTCCTTTACTCCTTGCATCACATTCTTTGCTCACACCCTCTAGCATGCACTTATCCCAAGATCCTTGCACAATTTCAAATCCAAACTGGGAACCCCATGAGAAGAGGAAATGGATCTTTTCCTCTTTGAGTCTGTGCTCTCAATATATTCAATAATTACTCATGAAATGAAGGTTCTCCACCATTCTCCTGAAACTACATGTTGCCTTTTCAGAACTTCTCTCAGGCCCCAATAGCACCTCCATGTGTATTTTAGTCAACACTTCAGCCTAGCATGCCCCCTTAGATGCAGCACACTTGACTTCTCACATCTCCAGAAATGAACAAAAGTAAACAGTGACAAGGAAGTCAAAGAACCAGACAGACCAAGCCACAAGATTATTGACAAGAATGGGAATAGTTTACTAGTGCTCCACCTCCCTTAGCTCTGAATTCTCATTTAGTCTAGATGGGGTCTGGGAACCCACACTGTAAGAACTCCCCAGGTGTTTCTGAAAGCCAGAAAACTGTGGGAAACTCTCATTCTGAATTTAACCACAAGCTATTCATTTGACTCTAGTGTCTGTTTTCCATTCTGACTGACTCCTGAAGTATAATGGATATAGTCTGTCTTGCATAACTTGCCTTGTGCTCAGTGAATAACTTGGGGCTGGCTCATAAATGCTTTGGTTCATGGTAGTGACTTCATTCACAGAGACATGCTAATGGGCACTGATGTCACATTCTGAAGAATGTCTCAGCCCCCACTGTTCATGCAGGCCCACTTAGAGTCAATCTACTAGGTTTCTCTTTACTCGAAATTGAATTGCTCACTTCTCCTGTTTCTGTGTTGTTTGCTTTAAGATGAATGCCATAAACAGACACTATCTAGGAAAGGAATTCCAGTCTACAGATAGTAGTTTGTATGGACATTTAAACACACCAGCTACAAAATAGTTTGGCATACAAGCCATCATTACTTCATCAGTACACCATCTACTACAATTGTTTTGCATGTCATGACCACATGGGGCAAGAAATCCAATCATGAACAGACAGGTGTCCTAAATAAGGACACTGAGATCTGTGACTCTCAAATGTGACTATACATTCCAATCACCTATATACTTAAAAATATTTATTTTATATGGATGTGTGTTTTGCCTTCATGTGTATATGTGTAGCAGATGCATGGCATAGAGTGCCCACAGAGGCCAGAAGAGGGAATTTGGATACCCTAGAACTGAAATTGCAGACAGGTTTGAGCTCTCATCAAGGTGCAGGAATCCAAGTCCATCCAGAAAAGCAGCAAATGGCTCTGAACCACTGAACCATTTCTCCAGGTCCAACTAGAGTGCTTTCAAAAGAACACAGTACCTGAGGACCAATATATGTAATTCAAATCTCAGAGAGACCAGCACCACAGATTATTTTGCTATGTACTTTTATTTTATTTTTTATAATTCACTCACTTTTATATCAGGATTGTAGCCCCCTCCCTTGTCTCTCCCTGATCCCACCTTCTTCTCCTTATCCCCCTCCCCTAGTCCTCAGAAAGAAGGAGACCTCCTCCTCTACCATCTGACCCCAGACTATCTAATCAGGTCTGCCTTACATTCTCTTCCTCTGACCCCAGACTATCTCATCAGGACTGCCTGCATTCTCTTCCTCTGTGTCCTAGGAAGGCCACCCTGCTAGAGGGAAGTGATCAAAGAGTGGGCCACAGAGTCCATGTCAGAGATATCTCTTGTGCCCCTTAATAGGGAACCCACATGGGGACTGAGCTGCCTATTGGCTACAACTGAGCCGGGGGTCTAGTTCCTTTCCATGCATGGTCCATGGTTGGAGTATTGATCTCTGCAGTATGCTGTGGGTCCAGGGTTTTTTGTTTTGTTTTGTTTTGTTTTTTGTTTTTTGGGGGTTTTTTTTTGGCTCTAGTGGTGTGTTTACTTGTGGAGTTCCTGTCTTTTCCAGGTATTTCTATCTCCCCTTTCTTCCATAAGATTTCCTGGCCTCTTCCCAAAATTTGGCTGAGAGTCTCAGCATCTGCTTCGATCCCCTGCTGGGTGAATTCTTTCAGAAGACATCTATGGTCCTGTTCCCTCACTACAACCTCTTCTGGTGTCTATTCTATTTGCTCTTCTGAATGAGATTTAAGCATCCTCCCTGTAGTCTTCTTTGATATTTACCTTCTTTAGGTCTGTGGATTTTAGTATGGTTATCCTGTATTATATGGCCAACACTTTGCTTATTACTGAGTATAAACCGTGCATATCTTTCTAGTTCTGGGTTGCCTCACTCAGGATGATCTTTTCTAGTTCCACACATTTCCCTGCAAATTTCATGATTTCCTTTTTGTTAATAGCTGAGTAGTATTCCATTGTATAAATGTACCACAGTTTCTTTATCCATTCTTTGGTTGAGGGCATCTCGGTTGTTTCCAGATTCTGGCTATTATGAACAAAGCTGCGACGAACATAGTTGAGCAAATGACCTTGTTGTATTGGGGAGCATCTTTTGGGTATATGCCCAGGAGTGGTATGGCTGGGTCTTGAGGTAGCACTATTCCTAATTTTTTGAGAAAGTGCCAGACTGATTTCCAAAGTGGTCATACAAGTTTGCACTTCCACTGGAAATGAAGAAGTGTTCCCCTTTCTCCACATCCTCACCAGCATGTGCTATAGCTTGAGTTTTTGATCTTAGTCATTCTGACAGATGTAATATGGAATCTCAGAGTTGTTTTGATTTGCATTTAGCTGATGACTAAGGATGTTGAGCATTTCTTTAAGTGTTTCTCTACCATTCTATATTCCTCTGTTGAGAATTCTGTTTTGCTCTGAACCCAATTTGTAAAAATTTATTATTTAATTATTCACTTTACATCCTGGTTGTACCCCCATCCCTTCTATCCTCCCAGTCCAAAACTTCCCCCTTTCCTCTCCACTGATCTATTCCTCAGAGAAGGGGAGCGCAATTTCCCATCCACCCCAGCTCATTAAGTTGCATCAGGACTGAGCATATCCTTTTCCACTGTGGCCTAACAAGGTAGTCCCACCAGGGGGAAGTGATTAAAAAAAAAGATAGCAAGTGAGCCTGTGTCTGATGCAGTCCCTACATCTGTATTAGAGGACCCACATGAAGAGTATGCTCCCCATCAGCTACATATATGTATAGGACCTAGGTCCAGTCCATGCATGGTCCTTGATTGGTGCTTCGGTCTCCATAGGTCCCTCTGGGCCCTGATTAGTTCGCCCTGTTGTTCTTTTTGTGGAGCTCTTATCACCTCCAGGTCCTTTTCTCTTTCTTCCTACTTTTCCACAAGACTCACTACTCATCGCCCAGTGTTAGCTGTGAGTCTCAGCATCTGTTTTGAAGTGCTGCTGTGTAGAGTCTCTCAGAGAACAACTCTAACAGGCTCCTGTCTGCAAACTTAGCAGAGTATCTTTCATTGTGTGATGGTTGGCACTCTCCAATAGGGTGGATCTTTGGTTGGGCCAGGCATTGGCTGGGCATTCCTTCAGTCTCTGCTTTCTCTGCTCTATCTTTATCCCTGCACATCTTGTATGCAGGGTAAATTTGGTATGTCCCAGCTTTTCAGTTTTTAGTTGGGTTATTTGTTTTGTTGACATTTAATTTACATATTTTGGATTTTCATTCTTAAAGAATGAAGACTAGCACCACAGATTTTTAAAAGCCCTTGAAGGCAAATCTAGAGAACAACGAGGCAGTGATCAAAGTCACCTGGGAAGACTTCAGCCCTCTTAACCTAGCCTCAGGAAGCTCAGCTATTTTAGTTTGGTGAGGGCCCATCCTCCTCACTACCATCAGATGATGCTGAGATACCACCACACCTATGTGTCACAGTTCTCAGGAGCAGTGACTCACAAGCTTTAAAGTGCAAAGGAATCACATCAGGATCATGCTAGCCATAGCAAATTTCTTACAAATGGTATAGATGCATCCATCCCAAGCTTAGAGATCCTGAGCTCTTGAGTCATTTGGTTCAGGGTAGGGGTTAATAAGCACATCCATGAAACTTTGAAGCACACTATCCCAAACCATACTTTATGAAACACGCAGCCAGGGATAGAGATGAACGAGAGTTGGAATGTTCCCCAGGGTGTTTATAAATGAAGAGAAAATAAGATAAATGCAAATTGACAAGGAAACGCTTCTTCTACTATCTAATGTCATCAGCAACAGACTAAACTATTGAAAAAATTAGGTTTCAGTAAGAAAAACAGGAGAGGGCTAGAGATGGCTCAGAGGTTAAGAGCACTGGCTGCTCTTCCAGAGGTCCTGAGTTCAATTCCCAGCAACTACATGGTGGCTCACAACCATCTGTAACGAGAACTGATACCCTCTTCTGACATGCATGCACACATGCAAGCAGAACACTATATACATAATAAATTAAAATAAAATCTTAAAAAAAAGAAAAACAGGAGAACGATGTGTTGTTCTGACAGGAAAAAAATAACAAAACTTCCTGAGATGCAAAACAAACAAACAAACAAAACAGGATTTTAAAATATCATTTGCAGTTTCAACCTATTCACTTTTTTAAAACTTGAATTGTTAATTTTTTGAGTTTATAATGAGATCATTTCACCCTCATTTTCCTCCCTCCAAATCCTACCATACATTCTCTTTGCTCTTTCAAATTCACGGCCTTTTATCATTGTTATTAATACACGTGTGTGTGTGTGTGTGTGTGTGTGTGTGTGTGTGTGTGTGTATTCTTAATTAAAACCTGCCCAGTCTGTATAATGTTACCTGTATATATATTTTTTCAAGTAGTCTAATTTAAATAGCAAATAGCATATCAAAGTTGTGACTGAAATGTATGTGCTTTCTGAAAGCTATAATTAAAAAGATCAGACAAACATGAAAGAAATGTTATAAAACCACATTAAGCTATAGTCCCCATATTATACACACATAAAGATGTATGTGTCTATTTATAAGTGTATATAAACAAGCATTTCCAAAAACCTGAAAGCATATTAGTAAATTAGCCTAAGAATTTATTTTGTCAATCCTATGGAAAATGTCACAGACATATCTAAGACTCCAAATAAGAAATTACTGATTCTAGTCTGAATACTGCTAGTGTCAAGAATCTATGAAATTATTAACTACTAATGTAAGCAGAAACTTAGACCATAACCATCAGTTCAACAAAATGGAAACATATAAAGACTGTTGTTGTAAAATGCATTTCTATTAGGGGCTGAATTAAGCATCTACTTCCTTACAGAATATTATGTTCTGGACAAAGCTTTTACATGGGAAATATGTCTGCTTATGGCCTGGTTTCTTGGAAGAGCCACTTCATGTCCTTATTCATAATAACAGACATTGTAAACCCTTACTGAAACCTTACTGTAAGGGAGGCAAGCCCAAAAACAAGTCAGTGACTACTTCAACAGTGTGCTAAGAGACAGCAGTGACAGGGGGGCAGGTCAGAGAAGGCTTCCTGAAGAATGTGGAGGTTGAGACTTGAAGAAACTATAAAAATGAAAGAACTAGCGTAAATTCATCAAACATTTATTGAGTACCTGTGTACCAACCTCTGTGCTCAGCTTCATGAATATAATGGATAAAATTAAGATTTAACCTTCCTGTTGCTCTTTCTAACTCAGTAAAGGAAATAATAGAATTCATGGCTCTAATGTGTGTTACAATAATAGTACACACAGGGTAGATAACAGTTTATGCAGACTAAGGGCGGTATAAGGAAAGTTTGTCTACAACACAAAAGATCTAAATTGATACTTTATAAAAACAGGCATGAACTGAGTACAGAATGATGGAAAGAAGAGCAGTCTGTGAAGGCTCAGGAAAAGATAGACTATGACATGTATGAAGACTGTGGTGACTTGGATAGAAATGTGCTTCACTGTTCAGTTTACTCACTGAAGTTGTAAAGCCAGGAAGGGTAGCACATGAAAATCTGTGATTTAGAAAAATACATTAGGTGGTGCACGCCTTTAGTGTCAGCACTCTAGAGGTAGAAACTAGTGGATCTCTGTTTCAGGTTAGCTTGGTCTACATAATGAGTTTCAGGATCACCAGGGCTACACAGAGAAACTCTATTTTTGGAAAACAAAACAAACAAACAAACAAAAATACTGAAGAACTAGAAAGATGCATCCATGAATATGAGCAGGGTGGTAGGCTGCTTTAGTAGGGTTTCTGACAGCAGGCTCTGCAAAAGGATGATCACATTTATCTAAATACATTTTGTCACACTGTGGTCATTTCTTCCTTCCTTCCATTTGTAGTAATTCCTAGCAAGATGCACAGCGATATGAAACCAACACAGACTAGACTTCTACTCGATGATTATCAAGTATCTGTCTATGACCTAACTGGAGACCTGAAGGGCCGAGAAATATGGCCAAGCTACTATGCTGAGGCACATGGGCTTGTTTTTGTCGTGGATTCTAGCGATATAGGACGCATACATGAAGTGAAGATCATCTTAACACACATAATGTTTGATAAAAGGATATCGGGAAAGCCCATCTTAATGTAAGTTTCTGCCTTTGTGTCTTGTTTTCTTTTAGCCAATTTGTGCCTTGGGAAAGGTATAAAGATGAAGGGCTTCTTTTGTCATAAGGAGCTAGACCTCTTTAGGCACAATGAGGTTGAAAGGCTCAGTTTCACTGGTAACTGTTTTCAAGGGCCGCTTTCTACCACACACAGTCATGTGGAACATGGTACCTAACTGAATAAATGAATTCTGAATCTTCAGAAAAGAGAAATAATATCTAGATAATCTTATCCCCAACCCTGGACTCTTCCTGAACACTCTTTAACTTGTTCTTTTCTGGTTTGAGTCTCTGATCCTGAAAGTTGATGGCAGAGAGCAAGCCCTGTTTTATACAATCAGCTCCAATGCCTTCCTCCCTCAGTTGGTTGCTCAAGACGATGTAGCTGGTACTCATTTCCTGGAGTGGGGATAATTCCAGTAGCCTGCCAATCCTCACTCCTTCCAATCTCCCCCTTTGCCATTCTCATTCCTAGCAATCCTTCCTAGAGCATAAACAGAGTTTCATAGATGTAAAAACTCCACACCTGTATATATCCCAATTAGTGATTGTAATTAAAGTACAAGGTGTGATATAGAGGAAGTGGAGAATAAACTCTGGGGATTATCTGTATCCAAATAATTTGCGCTATTTTTTTTCTATTAAAAGTTGGCTTGGAAACTGTCTAGCTCATCTGTCTCACTGGGTAAGCCCAATTCCTGGACCTGTAGAAGTTAGCATTCCCCTACTCCATATTTTTTTTTGTTTGCTTGTGTTTTGTTTGCTGTTTTTGTTTGTTTGTTTGCCTTGTTTTTTGTTTGTTTGTTTTCAAACAGTCTCAATATGTAGACCTGGCTAGTCTGTAACTCACAGGTATTCACCTGCCTCCTAAGTGCCGACACATCCCTTTGACTATACCTTGGTTTCACTCTTCTTGTCTTTATGCCCTATTCTAGCCTGGCGAACAAACAAGATAAGAAGGATGCCCTCTTGCCTTGTGATATCATTGAGTATCTAGTTCTGGAAAGGCTAGTGAATGAGACTAAGTCCATGTGCCGAGTGGTAAGTGTCAGTGTTTCATTTCTCTTCCTTTAGTTCCTGGCTAATATAACCAGGGCCCTGTCTGTCATCAGCCCCATATGTCAGCTTGGTGTCAAAGTTCCTCTCCATGACAGGCAAAATCTGCAGTGACTGTTTCTAACTTGATAATAATAAATATTACACTCTGCTTTGAAAGGTTTTAATATCTTGTTTTATAGGTGAGAAAGCTAAATGGCCAGAGGGTCTCAGTGGTTTGCTTGAGGTAACAAAATGAAGCCACTGTAACCATTTTATTAAAGGGGCCCAACTTTTATGCTCTTCATCCACTTTCTCAGATGTGCCTGCTGAGTGTCTTCCTGAAAGTTGAGAACCCATTCAGGCATAGCACATCTATCTCTGCCATTTTAATGATCATTAGTCCCCAAAGGTCCAGGGATCCAAAGGTGAGGCCTTCTTTTCTATTTACAGGAGCCTTGTTCAACCATGAAACATCTTTCAAAGAGGCACCAACAGCCAATAGTTACAGGGCTGCGCTGGCTATTAGCTGCCATTGGAGATCAATACGAAGAACTGTATACTCGACAACAAACATCCAATATAAGCATTTCAACCTCCAAGAACATTATAGGCTATGGGGAAAGATACTCATCAGACAGGTACTAAGCTGCCTCCATTAGATTTACTCCATTAGATTAGATAAGAACAGAAGTGAAAGTCAATCTTCAACATGACCTGTGAGTTCTGAGAGGTCCTTGAATTCTGGACAGCAACTTCTTCAGAATCTGATAGCTCAAGTGGGGCTTTGGCAGTGCCCATCAACATTTCTAGGTACACTACCTGTCCTGGCACAACATCAGCAGTCACCTTAGTGGGAAGAAGGGAATATAGGTTTAAAAAAATGGTAAAGCCAATCAACCTATTGTGATTAGGGCTTCTGTTTTCAGAATTGCCATGTGGAAGACAGAGGGAACATGTGATCCTTAAGGAGCCTATTGATAATATTCTAAAGATGACTATTACACAGCTGCTGCAGATTATCAGCCTTCAGTTCTCTAATCTTCCTAATTATGGAATGATAGGAAAGGACAGAAATGGTGAAAAAGAACAGGAAGTGATCAGGGTTTTGCAAGAAAAAAAAAGGCCTAAATGTCCTCCTGCTTTGTTGTCACTTTCATTGATCAAAGGCATATGGAAAGGATAGGGTAGTGGCTGCATTGAATAAAAAAGCTTGGAGGCTGGGGCTATAGATCAGTGGCAAAGAACTTGCCTCATGCATAGAAAGCCTAGAATTCAGTTCCCAGGACCAAAACAAGAAGAAAAATCTTGAAATATGCCTATTTCTACTACTGACTTTTTTCTTTCAAATGTTCTTAGTTTAGTTAACAGAGTAGACGTGATCAAAAACAACAGACATCATTTTGAGAAAAGACTACACCTGGAGCATCGCCAGCAGGTTGAGCAAAGACACTTTGAGAAAAGACAGCAATTTGATTCAAGACAGCATTTAATGCAACGCTCACTGGATGCTAGGCCTCTAAAGCCAATCCTACAAGTAAATGACTTTAAACACTATTGCCCATGGTCAGTAACTGAACTCTTGAGAACTAACTGACAATTTCCCTCTTCTTCTTGGCATGCAGAAAGATGGTCTTCGAATAAGGCCCAAAAAGAATGTGTCTGTAACATTTGCTCTGGATGTAATCATGGAAGAAGGTGAATGTTCTCAGAATATTGGAGCTCAGAATATCATTAAGTCTTGCCATAGTCAATGTTATGATACACAGACTCCAGCTCCATCTACTGATGACAAACTTTTCAAAGGTAATGTTGAATCATTGGTCACAGAAAACAAATCACATAGGTCTTCCTTTATATTTTCTATAATAGCATTCCTATTTTGAGACTTAAACTCATTTTTCATACTACATTCGGTTGTTGAAAGATGTATGCAACAAACCTTGCACACCATCACCTGTCAGGGCAGTAAGGATGCCCTAGCATTATTTCACACAAGATCTTTGGATGGTAGTAGTGATAACTTAAAGGTTATGCTTGCCAATGGTGGAAATGCAAATTAGTATAACCTTTAGGAAGGGTATGTTGCCTGTCTCTCTCTTCCCTTTTCTCAGTAGTATTAAGAACTTTTAAAATGGAGATAGAGAGATGGCTCAGTGATAAAGAGAACTTGTTGTTCTTGCAGAAGATCCAGATTCAGTTTCTGGCAGCCATAGGGTAGCTCACAATCACCTGTAACTCCAGTCCCAGGGATCTCATGCCCTCTTCTGACCTTCACAAGAATGAATGTGGTGCACTGATGTACATACAGGCAAAAGACTCACCCATATTAAAGTAAAATATATCTTTTAAAAACTTAAAAATATGGAATGCCTTTAAATTACTAGTCTCATTTCTTAGCCATCTACAAAGACAATTACAGAAGTACACAAAAAGTATACTAAAGAATATTCCAATTATAACATGCAGTACAAGGGCTAAATGTTGAAAACAATGTAAATGTCCAATGACAGGGGTGGCTAAATAAATGAGGATGCATCCATACTATGGAGGCATTAACATTGCTAATGATAGGTAACTGGAGATATAAATCAGGGATTAACATGCCTTCCCATGTCAGCATGAAGACCTGAGTCTGGATACTCTCTAGCCATATAAAAGCCTTGCAACATTCAATGTTATAATACACAGAATCCAGCTCCATCTAGTGATGACAATCTTTTCAAAAGTAACGTTGACTCATTGGTTACAGATTGTTGCTATACACCTGTAACCCTAGCACTGGAGGATGGGCAGTAGAGAAAGGAGCACCCAGACCTCATTAGGCTACCCAGCCTAGTTGATCAATGAGAAAACATAAACACGAGGCACACATACAGTATACACCCAAACAAGAAGTTAAATGAGTTGTTATGCATGCATTGAGGGACATGCACTTGGCCATACCCAAGGAGAAAATAGGCAGAGCTCTTGGAATAAGGGGTAAGGATGAGAATGGAACAGAAGGGATCTAGTAGAAAATAAAGTATGCCTTTCTCAATGTCAGCAATTACCTCTAAATCATTATCCAAAATCAAAACTCATTTTTATTTCTACAACCTCAGCTCGCAGGCCAAAAAAAAGAATAGATACCTGGGACACCGAAGAAATGTTATTGGAAGATCTCGTGGAGAAGCCTTTTGTTCCTGTGGTTAGTACTCTTTAGTCAAAGAATGTATGTGGTTGGGATGGAGGGTGAGTGCCCTCTAGGCCCTTGGAAACTGCTCAACAACCTCCTACCCCATGCAGTTTGGGAAACAATAGAAACCTACCACTTGGCTTCACTTGTAAAACTGGCTGTTTTCTTTTTCTGATTAGACTTAACAGACTACTAAAGATAAAATGGAGGGACAGCAAATGAATCATTCCCTTTACCACCTTATAGTAAATGGGCACATCTCCAGAACCAGCAGGAACACCCAGTCTTTGAGTTTAATGGATAATGCCTCTACAGCCCATGTACAAGTTCACCTATTCTAACATCACATCCCTGAGAACCATTGTTTCTGCACACAAGTGTGGTAGCCAGTAAATTCATCCCATACTCATCTGGAGCCTCAGGAAGTTAGGTGCTCTCCACCTCAGGAAAGAAGAACAGAGACTTCCCACATGTACTGAGATGCTCCTGACAAAAGATGATTATGGATAAGATGTTGTGCACAACCAAAATTGAGCCTTAGAAGACCAGGGTTACCTTAGAATCACACATTTCTCTTTAAGGTTCTCAGGTATAAAGGGAATGGCAAAATAAATAAGAATGATGTTCTTCTCAATCGGGGTTTTTTTTTTTGGTTTTGTTTTATTTTTGGTTTTGTTTGTTTGTTTTGCTTTGCTTTTTGCTACACCTCCTGAAACAGTTCTGTTTAAACAACCCAGCTTACTGTCTGGGAAACCACATTGCTTTTCTATCCTTTCAGGACAGCAACTGCTGCCTCTTAACATATGTGTCGACCCCCTACTCCACTCCCAGGGTAGTGTTGGTTCCTTACTCTTATGTATATCATTTCACCTTCATCATGGACACCATTTATCAAGTGCTTTCTGGATACCATGCACAGTGCTAAGTCTATCCCATCTATTATCATATTTGCAAACTTTCTGGGCAGGTATTACACTTGGCATAATTTCCCAGATGAGATATGTTAAAAAGCAGAGCAAGGAATGGAATCCAAACCTGCCTAGCTAGAGCTACCTTGGGCCAAAAAGGTTCATACATACCTTTCTCCAATTCCCTCTAGAAATAGAACGCCAAAACCAGAAAATAATGCTGAAGTGTATTCATGCCTGTGTGAGGAGAATTCAGTTAACAGTCATAAGTGCGCAAGCATGGCTGATTGAGCACTTCCACTCTGTCAGATACAGGACTAATTTCTTTACATATATTATTACATATTACATATTACATATATTGCATATATTATTGCCTTTCATCTTCAAAATCTTATGATATCTGTTCTATTATTGCCATCTCACAGAGGCAGAAACTGATGTTCAGGCGGTTATGTAATTTGTCCCTGGGCATCCATTAAGAGGTAGCAGAATCAGTTTTTAAACTAAAGCCCAAGTCCATGTGGGCTCTAAAGATGACTCAGTGGATAAGAGGACCTGATGTGCAAGCATGGAGAACTGAGTTTGGATCCCAGCACCCATGTTAAAAAACAAAAAAAGACAGAATGTGAACATTTTATGATAAAGAGATAGGATGACCCCTGAGACTTGCTGGCTGATTGCATAGCTCCAGGTTCAGTGAGAGACTGTTCAAGAAGTGTAATATAGAACAGGGCTCAGGGCATCTTCTTCTGGCATCTGTGTGTATAAACACCCCATACACATGCACATGTGTCACAGACAAATATGACACACTCACATATATACATACACACATAAATAAAAATAAATAAATAAATTGTCCCAACTTCATAACCATGTTCTTAACTCTACCTTAGACTGTTTTGCCAAGAAGTATAAGCCAATCAGCCCATTGCCTGATAGATAATCTTTCAACTAAAAACTTGTCTTATGGCCCTACCTGAAAGCTGCTTCTCCTCCTCCTCCCCGTCCTTCTTACACATACTCCTTTGTCTCTGTATCGTTCTGGCTATCCTTGGATACTCTCTATGTAGACCAGACTGTCCTCAAACTCACAGAGACCCTCCTGTCTCAGCCTCCTAGAATACTGGAACCAACGGCATGCACCACCACTATGTGTAGCACCAAGGCTGTTTTCTTATATCCAAGGGAATTACTTTAAATGCCTTATGTGTTTTTGATATGCTTGTAAACTCACACAACTAGTTGCGGCACTGGAAAGAACCTTGAAGAATCTCTATTCAAACCCATGTTATACAAATGAGAAAATAACATGCCCAAGCTGGAGTGACTGGATACTGGCAGCAATATTCCCTAAATTCCAATCTTCTGTATGTTCAAGCCTTTATCCTCCCTGGGCCATTTCAATGTTCTCACTCCATCCACTTTATTTTGCCTGTTAGAGAGTTCTGCAGTCCAACAGTCTCATCCTGAGAAGCAGCAAATGCCTCTACTGAAGAAGTTTTGGGCTGCACAAGGGTAGAGTACTTGCCTAGCATGCACAATGCAATGGGCTTGATCCTCAGCACAAGAGAGACTCTTAAAAGACAGGAGACTGTAATTCAATAAACCATACTTTGGTTGGTTGGTTTGATTTTTCAAGACAGGGATTCTCTGTGTGGCTCTAGCTATCCTGGAACTCATTCTGTAGACCAGGAGGGCCCTGAACTCATAGATCTGGTTGCCTCTGCCTTCTGAGTCCTGGGATTAAAGGTGTATTCTACCATGTCCAGCCAATAAAACCAAGTTTTTAAAAAGAACTGATCATGTTTCTTCATGGCATGTATCTATTAAGCAGGAATATCTTCTTTGCAAACCGAGAAGGTACAATAAGTAGCCTATAAATATGAGCAAGGTAGAGAATTTTGGTTAGACACCTGCTAACAAAACTGAATTTCAGTTGGAGATGTAACATAGTGGGTTGCCTAGCACAAGATGCCCTGGGTTCTGTCCCCAGTGACATATAAATGGGATGCAGTAGTGTACAATTATAATGCCAGAACTCAGAAGGTAGAGGCAGCTGGATTCAACATATAGCAAGTGCAAGGTATACAAGTGATCCTTTCTAAAAAAAATTCCTGAATTGAAGTACATTGTCACAGTTTCCTTTGTGCAATGGATATGTTTCTGAGTGACAACATAATTTTTCTAAGTAGAAGCCAAAGTTGGGTGATTTTTTTTCTTTTGTTTTATTTATTTATTTATTTTGTGTGCGTGTGTGTGTGTACACTGGTCTTTAACTCATGACCCTCTTTCATACTGAGGTTACAGGCTTATACCACTTTCATCCAGGTTTTGTTCAGCAGGGTTTTTTTTTTCTTTTTTTCACTATTATTATTATTATTATTATTATTATTATTATTATTATTATTATCATTATTATTATTATTATTATTTACAATTTAATCACTTTGTATCCTGGCTATAGCCTCCTCCCTTATCTCCTTCTGGACCACACTCCCTCTTTCTTCTCCCCCATATGTCCCTCCCATAGTCCACTAATAGGGGAAGTCCTCCTCCCCTTCCATCTGACTCTAGCCTATCAGGTCTAATCAGGACTGGCTATATTGTCTTCCTCTGTGGCCTGGCAAGGTTGCACGACCCAGAGGGAGGTGATCAGAGAGCCTGTCACTGAGTTCGGGTCAAGAGACAGCCCCTGCTCCCCTTACTAGGGAACCCCCATGGAGAATGAGATGTCTAGGTCCTTCACATGCATGGTCCTTGGTTGATTCATCAGTCTCTGCAGCTCATTTTGTTTTGTTTTGTTTTTTAATAGATCTGTTCTTTTCTTTCTTTCTTTCTTTCTTTCTTTCTTTCTTTCTTTCTTTCTTT